CCAACCCAGCTCCAAAAGCATTATCCAGTGAGACAGACTTACCGAGGGTTTCCTGGGAAAATGAAGGAGCAGCGCTAACATGAAAATTTGATCAGACATTTTTATTAGATAGTATTCTTTTTTTATTCTCTTGACAAGTCTTTCATAAAGCCCTTTCTCATCATTCACAAACAAGCTCTATAAACCTCTCAAAGCAATTAAATTCTCTCATTTTATAAATCTCACTTAACAAAAAGTAGGCATTTTAGCAAACAAAAACCTGGTATTGAGCCAAACTGCGACATTACGTTCTTTGAGTCACCAAATTAAGAAAATAATCAGCCAGATCAAGGTACATAGGATGAGATCTGGAAGGTCCCAAGCCAGCATTTTCATCCCTGTGGAGTTGGGGTGCACCACCCTCCTGGCATGGAAATGAGTTCTTGTTCACCTTCCCACAAGCCTCTCTGTGTTCTGTGGAAACTCTATGTTCATAACTTTTCACTTGTGGTCATGATCAGTAGCGCTGTGTTTGACATAATAGAGCTTTTGTCTGGGCAGATTGGGACACTTTAGCAAGAAGGCACATTTGCCTTTTTAACAGAGGGTTAAATAGAGCATCCTTTCCTTGCTCACTTTTCTTTGCTCCTTGCAGATATTGCTTTAGGCGTGTTTGATGTGGTGGTGACGGACCCCTCGTGCCCATCCTCGGTGCTCAAGTGTGCTGAAGCATTGCAGCTGCCTGTGGTGTCACAAGAGTGGGTGATCCAGTGCCTCATTGTTGGGGAGAGAATTGGATTCAAGCAGCATCCAAAATATAAACATGATTATGTTTCCCACTAAAGATACTTGGTCTAACTGGTTTTATCCCTGCTATTGTGGAGATTGTGTTTTAACCAGGTTTTAAATGTGTCTTGTGTGTAACTGGATTCCTTGCATGGATCTTGTATATAGTTTTATCTGCTGGACTTTTATGAAAATAAATGTTGAATCTCTTTGGTTGTAGTAACTGGGATTTTCTTCATCTGTTTCTTTGAGCTTAATCTCAGAATAAATAACCAGACAAAACAGTACCTTTCCTGAGGTTTTCAGTAGGTTGTTCATCTTAGGAGGACAGCTTGCCAAGGAAAATGGAGAATTAGGGGTGATCGTTACTCTGTCGCAAAATTGTCAAAAGACTATTACATGCTATGGTTCCAGAAACAAAGTAGGTGAAGGACCACATTAATAACAGTGGTGCCAAAGTCGAGGGGAATTTGGCTCAACTCTACATTTCCTGATTGAAAGTGCCACGTCCCTGTCTGTGTTTCTCTCTTTAGAACTGAGTTCACTACGGGCCAACCTGTGGGTAGTTCCCTATTCTTGGAACTAAAAGGGAAAGGGGCCAATTGCTATAAGTGGACAGTGTCTGTAAGCTTGATGGGATGACTTTCTATAAACATGAGAAGCACAAGTGAGAATACTTGGACATATTTAAAGCTCTAGCAGAGGTCCAGTATTATTGTCACACTTGCAGGAAGCTACTCCTTTCCTATCCTATCAGCCTGTTAATTAATGTCCTCTCATTCTCTAAAGCAAGGCTCAACAGGGTTTTTCTGTAAATAGCTAAACAGTTATTACAGGCTTCATGGTTCTGTAATTTAGTCTGTCACAACTACTCACCTTTGCTGTGAGAGGCTGAAAGCATTCAGAGAGAACAGGTAAACAGAGCATGGCTGTGTTTCGGCAGGGTCGTATTTACAAAAACAGGTCACAGGACATAGTTTGCTGCCCTGCTCCAGAGGCAGCTGTGGAAGGGGCCATCTTTACTTGGCAACAGCGGGGAGCAAAGGTGTCCTCACGTATGCAGTAGAAGTAGAGATGGAAGACTGGATTCAGTGATGGCACACCGAGGCTAGAACACTGCATTCTTCCTCAGTAGGGGCAGGGGAGCTGTTCAGTGGATAGTTCTTTTCGTTCACATTGATATGAACATTAATGATTACCAGTGATGGTTGGGTCATAGTAGGAGAACCTTAACTGTTCTATTCTAGTTCATTCATGATGAGATAATTGGGTCTGAAATTTTTAGCATTTAAATCTAACATTTGACCTTAATTTTTTCTTAGGTACTTATTTCTTTGGGGGAAAAAGAAATACTTAAATACATTTTAATTATTATAGAATTGCCTATTTATCAGTCTGAAATAATTGGAAGTTATTGGCAAGATTCTTCAGATTTACAATTTTTAAAGATCCTTTATGGTGGGAGGCACTCAAGCTTACATTTCTGAAGGAAGAATGGTAATCTGTGTCAGTAAAATAACTTGGTGTGCAGAGGGAAAGCCTGTCTTACCTGTGCTTTTCCTACTCGATAGTAACATCTAGCAGTTGACCAATTCATAAATAGAATTCTGTTTTTACATATGATCCACAAAATATTTAACTCTCTGTATAATAATGTATCTCCCATAGCTTTAACAGTATGTGTGCACATAGTAGGTCCTCAGTTCACAACTGCTGAAATAAATGAATGTATCCAACAAATGTTCTTAACATAAAAGGTTAAGAACATAAAGGATCCCTTGTTAAGTCAGAGGGATACCTGACAACACACACTCTCCTTGGGTGAGTGAAGAATCCCCCAAGGAGGGGCAGGCCCCTTTCGCATGGATATGATGGGAAGGATTTATACCTCTGGGTGTTCAGTAATTGCTTCAAGGACAAAACGTAGAGCCCTCTAACTAGGCTGCAGATGTTGGTGAGTGGTTAGAGAATGGGATGTTTGTTTTGAATCTTCTGTTACAGACTTGGGAATGTTTGGATTGATTGTTATTTCAGTTTATGAACCAGAAATGTTCACATCCCGAAACTATAAAAGAAAAAAAGTCTCAATAAATATCATGCTTTGCCAAGATAGTTTTCAAAGAAATACAAGTCAGAGAAACCTATTCCTAGATGATGGTATCTTAAAACTCAGGGTTTCTTTGCTTCTGCTAAAATACATTATAAAAAAGTCTGCTTGAGGTCATTTCAGAGAGTAGAGAGAACAAAGTGCTTGTTTGACTAGAAATGATAAGACCTCCGAGAAGCCAACCATTATTACATTAAAAAGTTTAGAGTTAAAAGAGGTAGTCCCCTCCCTTTACAGATGCTGAAGCTCAGGGGCAAGGCCAGATGGACAAGGCCAGGTGCTCAAAGCTACATTGCTAGTTCATGCCAGAACTGGGAATGGAAGCCATGCTGTCTCCCAGCAGAGCAACACATGACCTAGCAAATCTGAAACCCATCTCCTCACTCTCGGGTGGTTCAGCATTTTAAAAGACGGTTAGACACAACCCTGTAACTCTGAGCCTTGTTTATAAAGTGAGGGTATTTGGAATAGATGATGGCTACTACATTCCTTCCAACTCTGGAATTTTACAACTCCTTAAAAAGCCACCCCCAAAATCTGAGTTCTCTGAACATTGTTCCTACCTGCCCAGAGTTCCACCAGCCTGGGTATAGTATTTGTTGTAATCCAGTCGTAACAGTAGTTGAGCCAAATCTGAGTTGATCTGATGATTCCGAACACTGGAGAGAATCTTGAACAGGAGTGAAGACTGGCGGCTAAAGCCCTACAGAGAGAAGGACTGAAGCTGTCACTCCTACACTCCGCAGAGGGCTGAGGGAGGAAGCTCCTTTGGAAATGCTGAGCTCAGAATTCTCCAGAAACACTTGACCACCCCATATCTCATTTCTGTTAGCCTCAAAAGTGACTTATGTACTAAGTCCATAAAATGCATGCCTTCCTGTAAAAGTATTCTCACTAGTAGGAATTTAGCAGCAGGCTTCTTTATATTCTATGGTGACTGAGAATGGGGAGGGCCTTTTTTGTTGTTAGAGCAGATAATTATAATCTCAGTGAGATGAGTTAGTTCAAGAAGTAAGGAGGTAGGAGGTGAGAAAGTGCAAACAAACCAGTGCGTACTTGGTGGGCTGATCGAACTATTCAGGGCTGAACTACTTTTGAACACTGTGAGGTGTCACATGAATTATCTGCTTCAAAAATCAACTGATAGCAACGTTTTTATCTTTGTATCTTGTTCTGTGTGTATGTCCTGGGGAAATGCTTTATTTACTCGAGGAACAGCCATGAATTCTTCATTGGCAAAACACCTCTGTTGTTTGGACAGGGCTGCGTACTGCCACCAGCCAGAGAGACTCACCTTCACAAGGATGCTCAGCTGGGCGGCTCCACGCTCATCCAGTGGGCCCAGGTTCTGACTGACCAGTGAACAAAAACTGTGACAGAGATCTAGGATTTCATTCAGGCAGTGAAACACCTACCCAGAAAACAGAGTTGTCATTAGGAAAAAGGAAATTTAAGATTTGAGAAGAAGTCTTAATTGCTGAACTTCCATCTCAGACACCGGATAAATCACTGCCACTCGCAAGGCTGGCCATACCCTCAGGTACAACTCGTGTAAAACAGACTCATCGCTCTTGGCAACGATGCTTTTGTTCTCTTAGTCGCCCCTGCACAAAACCTTGACTCCAGCCACATCGGATTAGTTACCACTTCCTGAGACCCACAAAGTGTGTTCCTGCCTGAGTATGAGTGTTGTTTTTTGGGTCTGGGATACTCTTCTCTTGAACACCAGTTGAAGTCCCACTCTCATGAAGTGCTCTCTTCCCCACTGTATGTAGCCTTTAGAGAGCCCCCACCTCTCTCTTCAATATTGTTGTATTGATCACTTGGCATCTGTGTTGTTGCGGATCTTTGTATGTCTTGTTTTTCCAACTAGATTGTGAGCTCCTTAAGGGCAGAGCCATGACTTATACCTCTTGTATCCCCAGTGCCTTGCATATAGTAAGCACTCAATAAATATTTAATGAGGATAACTGGCTCTGATATTCTGCTCTTCTTCAAGAATATCCCACACCATATGAGGACAGTGGTTCTTTTTTTTTTTTTATTCTCAATTTACAGGACCCTTTGGAGTGGCGTCTATATAACTTCTTGGTGCAGTAAAAAAGCCTCAAATACTAGAATAAAAAACTACCTAGCACTTGTGTGGCACACCGAGAAGTAACAATTAGCTCACAGAGGAGATAAAGACATAGTTTCTAATACTCTACTGGACATTTATATTAGAACTATAAACATTAATATTTGTATTAGAAACCAGTTTTGGGGGCCAGCAGGAGCATGGTGGTTAAGGTGCTAAACCCCACATGACTGGCACTGGTTCAAGTCTCAGACCTTGCGGCTTGTTTTCTCTCTTTCTCTCGTGAGTGCACGTGCCCTGTAGCAAAGTAATAATAATAAAAAAATTCTGGGATCAGCAGATGGCGTAATGGTTACATCACTGGACGCCCACGTAATTGACTGTAGTTCGAGTCCTGGACCTGGTGGCTTAAAACTCATGCCAAGCATGTGTACGTGTGTGCCCAAAATCAGAAGAATGGAGAAGGGACCGTGGCATGGCCATCCTCCCTGGGGGGGTGACTTCTCACTTAATGTCCCTCTGTCTCTGTCTTTCTGGTGAGTGTACATGCCCTATAGCAAAAATCTCTTAAAAAAAAAAAATTCTTAAATAAAAAACCCTACAGTTTCTAATATAAACATTATATTAGAAACTACGATGGATCATTTCAGTCTTCCTGCTTTTTATGTTAGAATTTGAATCAACTTGTGAGCTTCCCAAAATACTAGTACCTGGGTCTCACTCCAAGGATTCTTAAATAACTTAAGTGCTCTGGGGCTAACTTTTTTGCTTGTTAATTGCCAGAAGGATATGGGTACTCGCCAGAGAAAGAGTGAGCACGAGAGAGGGTGAGAGCACACAGCCTTACCCAGTGAAGCATGGCAATGCCACAGTCCTTTTCCCTCCATTTCTCCATCCTATCAGGATTTTGGGGCATGCACACACAAGCCCTACATGGATTTTGAGTTGCTGGGACCAGGAATTGAACTGTGATGGGCCAGGTAGGATCTGGCTCCCAATGCACAGTGCTTAACCACTGTGCTACAGGTCCAGCTCTAAGGCATAGGGATTTTTTTTGTTTGTTTTTTAGGAGATTTTTGCTATAGGGCATGTGTGCTTGCCAGAGATGCAGAGAGAGACAGAAAGTGAGAAATCTTCCCCTTGGGAGATGACCACGCCAAAATTCCTTCTCCGTTCTCCTCTTAGGATTTTGGCACGCACGAATTAGCGCCCAGTGTGAGTTTTAATTCACCATGTCCGGGACTTGAACCATGGTTGACTACGTGGTCCAGCAATGTAAGCTTTATGCCATGTGCCGGTCCCCTGCCAAGGTTTTTTTTTTTTTTTTTAATTTTATTATTATTTTTTAATCTGACCAGAGAGAGAGAGAGAGAGAGAGAGAGTGAAAAAGCAAGCCACCTGGTCTAGAACTCATACTATGGTCAGCCATGTGGAAGTCTAGCACCTTAACCACCACACCACCTACCAGACCCAGGACTAGGCTTTCTTAAAGGCCCCAGATGATTCCAATGTGTAGCCAAGGTTGAGAATATCTGCCATGACAGGGAAATATACATACTCATGGATATATACAGAGAGGAAGATACTCCAGGGGTCTATGAGATGAGAACAACTTTCCTTTTTTTTTTTTTTTAAGACTTAATTTAATTTTATTCATCACTATTAGTACTCTTTAAATTTGACCAGAAAGAGAGAGAGGAAAGTAGAATCAAGCTGCCAGGTCCAGGACTTGAACCATGATTGGCCAAGTGAGAGTCCAGCATCATAACTACCATGCCACCTGCTAGCCCCAAGAACAACTTTCAAACTGGTCAGTCCTGGTCCAAAAAATTTCTAAGAAGGTAAACTCTATGTACTTTTCATTGGCTTTCCTGTAATGTCAGGAAGCTATTTGAATTTCTTTAAATACCTCCTTCTGAAGGTTAGCACATAACTCTATCATCTACAGCCATTTACCACACCCTGTGATATATTTCAGAAATTCAAAGACATTGAGTTATTTTTTCACTTTATTTATTCCTCTTTAGTTTTGCTTTTTTTTTTCTTTTAGTCTAGCAATAGGGTACACACACTCGCTAGAGAGACAGAGACAGAGAGAGAGAGATAAAGTGAGAAACCACTCGCCCAGTGGGGGTGACCATGCTGCAATCCCTTCGTCATTCTCCTCTTGGGATTTGGGGCACGCACTTACATGCACCAGCCATGTTTTTCAAGCTACTGGGTCTGGGAACTCGAAACACAGTTGGCTATGTAGGATCTAGGTACCTTAACCTCTCTGTCATCTGCTGGCTCCTAGTTTTGCTTTTTAAGTTGTTAAAAATGTTTAAAAATGGATAATTTAATGATGGTTCCTTGCCAGCTCAAAATGCCTAGAAGCAGTCTGAGGAAACCACCAGCCCTACTTACAGGTTTCAACAAGATGAAAGACTGGGCCAGCAAATTACTCAGGAAGTGGTCGTGAGCCAGTCGGATGCTTTCGAAGTCTCGGGTAGAATTGATTTGATGAAGCAGCTGTGAGAACTGAGACTCCAGCACATCAACCTGAGAGACAGTCCCACAAATTATTTTAGCATCTCACATATATTTTTAAAAAATAATTATTTTTATTTTTCTGTTAATTTGACCAGAGAGAAAGAGAAAGAAAGGGAAAGTGAGAAAGCAAACCACCAGGTCCGGGACTCGAACCACAGAAGACCATGTAGGATTCTAGCACCTAAACCACCATGCCACCTGCTGACCCCAATGTATTCTTTTTTTTTTTTTTTTTTGGGTTTTTTTAGGTTTTTTTTGAAGAGGTTTTTGCTATAGGGCGCATGTGCTCACCAGATAGAGACAGAGAGACAGAAAGCAGGAAATCACACCCCAGGGGGAAGGCCACGCTGCAATCCCTTCTCTTCCATTCTCCTCTTGGGATCTTGGGCATGCACGCGCACACGCCCGGCGTGAGTTTAAGCCACCGGGTCCGGGACTCGAACTGCGGTTGACTACGTGGGAGTCCAGCGACATAGCCATTACGCTAACTGCTGGTCCCGGGCCCAATGTATTCTAAACACTCAAAGACATTAAGGTGGTTGGCAGGATGAAATAGAAAATCTTTGCCCCATTCATCTTCCTTCTTTTCATGGCTTTTTAAGCCTTTTCAGAGATGTTCATATTGTCCAGACAGACAGGAAATTCCTTGTGTAGTTTGTAGCCACCTCCAGTGTCTTTGGAGACCACTCTCCTCTGTCCCAGCCCATTTCACTCATGCCACATGCCCTCCACTGACTAACTTTGTTATGTCCTGTAGAATTCTAGAACTTGAAGCAAACAGTGAACACAAGGGCAGGTCAATAATAAATAATGCATTGCTGTAAAGGATACTAACTCATTAGTTTTCATCTATTTCTACTTTCCTTTAAAATGCCCTCAAAAAACATGCTGAGTGATAAAACCATTGAATTTTCTCAAACCTCAGGATTTTGCTTATGACGGAATTATAGTTCCCCACTTTTCTCCCTAGCCCTTCCTTCGTCTCATCCCTCAGCACAGACCTGGAGATAGTATTGGAGATTATCCACCAAGAACGCCATGTGGTTTCTTAGACGCCACTTGACTGCATCAGTTTGGTTGGACTTGAGGTGCTTACGTTGCATCTGTAGGGCCCAGCAGTGCTGCAGTTCAGCCTGTACTCGACGTACGCTCAGTAAGTACTTGAAAACAACATTGTACCTAGGACAGAAACATCAGGCTGTTTAAGATAAAAACTTCACCCTCCATCTCTAGAACTCCCTGCTACCTACCCCTCTCCCAAAAAGGCAGGAAGGAAAGAAGAATGGTTAGAGATAAGGATAATTAAATTGTTTATACACACACACACACACACACACACACACAGAGTGGAATATTACACAGCAGTCAAAGTGAATGAACTTCAGCTATACAATACCGACAAAATTACACTTAGCAATATGACTTTGAAAAAGATAAATCACAAGATTACATATAGCTTTTACAATTTTTAAAACAACTAAAAGCAAAAAACCTTACATATAATGTGTACATATATATGTGTGTGTGTGTGTCTGTGTGTGTGTGTGTGTGTGTGTGTGTATATATATATATATATATATATATTATAAAACTAGAAAAGGAAAACATGGAATTATGACAGTGGTCATCTTGGCTTCGGGAAGGCAGGGAGGCAGGACTGGGAAGGGCCATATAGGTAGATGGAGATTATCATTCAATGTTCTAGTTTTTGTGCTGGGAAGTGGTTCTGTGACACGTGTGTGTATGTGTGAAGCAAGGATAGAGGGTCTTAGGGCAATAATAAGTGTGCTATGAACCAATGACAATGATGAATCTCTGTGCCTGAAGAAGGTAATGTAACTTCCCTCAGTGAGTTCAGATTCCCGCCTGCCAGCAGAGTCTAACTGCCTGTTGCTGAGACCCAGATCTGAGAGGACAGGTGGAAAGAGCCAATTCCTGGTAAAACTGGAGATGAGTAGTGTCTCTTAATATTGGGAAAGTGTTCTGAGAAATGCATCATTAGGCAATTTCACCATTAAGTGAACACTGTAGATTGTCCTTACACAGACCCAGATAGTACAGCCTACTATACACCCAGGCTATATAGTATAGCCTATTGCTTCTTACAGGACTACCACTAGATATGTGGTCTGTCACTGATGGAAATGTTATGAGGCACGTGACTGTTTACTTGAAGCAGGTTTGCAATCCAATTACATTTGATTTAAAAAACTATTTCTAGGGGCCAGTAGGTGGCATGGTGGTTGGGGGGGCTAGACTCCCACATGGCTGACCACAGTTCAAGTCCCAGACCTGGCAGCTTGCTTTCTTGCTTTCTCTCTCTTGCTCTTGTCAAATTGAAAATAACAATAACGATAAATAAAATAAAGGAAGTAATTCTTTAAAAAAAAAATAAAACCTATTTCTTAATGGAACATGTTGATACAGAAGACCTTGTCTTGAGATAGCTTTGAACAAACCTAAACAAACCTAATCATAAGAAGGAACTTTTTTAGATAACTGCAGATATTTCAATGTGAACTAGATATTAGATCATAAGGAATTTCTATTAATTTTATGGGGCATGATTATTCATTTTGACTGCATTGTAGTTAAGTTGAATTGCATAGTAGCAGAGTAAAATGACATGTCTGGGATTTACTTTGTAAAGCTCTGGTCAGAAAAGTGAGGAAGGGATGGAGGAAACAAGTGGCATAATGTTGATACTGAGGCTAGATACTGAGGATGTGGTAGTTAGTCTACACTTCTGTTTATATTTAGAAGTATAACAAAAGTTTTAAAAAATCCTTGTAAATTTGATTTTTAAAAGGTCGTTCCGAGCATATTAAGTGGGGAGCGAAGTGGACTGCCGGCCTATGGTTGCTAGGAGCTGTGTGTGGAGCTATGGAGGCTCTGAGGACAAGGTCCGTGCAGCTTGCTGAGCTGGGCTGGGCTCTAAAGCTGCCATAAATTCTTCTCTGAACTAGCTTCACCTTTTCTGGTTTATGCCTGGTCTATCATATTCTAAGCTTCTCTACTCCCAAAAAGTAAAGAAGACTATGAAGAAGGTCAGGCAGGATGAAGAGAAGTGGTCTGAAGAAGGGAAGGCACCCTTGTTCACTGGCTTCTCTTTGTCCATGCTTCCAGCCTCACTGGACATTAGTGTCCATCCTCCATCCAGCCTAATGGCCAGTTCTCTACCAGTAACAGGGCTTGGGAAGTTCCTAAAAATGGTGTGGGGATGGATTTCAGAGGCCACTACCATCAAACATGCCTCTCCCATCTCCTTCTCCTAGAGCTCTGGTTGGGACGCATTAAGTTCTGACTGGGCCAAGCACAGCACCTGGCAGGCTCTTTTGATAAAGAACAGGCTGATCTGACAGTGTCAGATCCCCAGGGTCTAGATCCTTTATTCTATCCCTGCTGCCTCTCCTGGCAGGTATAGAGGTGATCTGTTCCCAGTGGCTGAAGTCCACAGCAAACATTCAGACTGGAGGACTTTCTCAAGTTAGTCAACAAAAAGATTACAAAAGTTAGGGAGGACCTTGACAAGGCTGAGAGAATCATCAGGAGCCAGACTTACTGTGGTGCTAGAGACCACATTTTCCAGAGGCCACAAACTGGCAGCCTATGCATTGCTTGTTACTTGGTGAATCTTAAAAAATATCCTCTCCCATTCACTTTAGTGCCCACTGCTCCCTAATGTCCCATGTCTATAGTTTCACTTATTAATGGGGTTGTCTGGCTCTTGAAGGGATACGAGTTTACAACCTTTGCTTTATAAATGGTTAGAAACTAGTCAAGTGGCTATCTTGCATTCATCACTTCCACTAATTTCTTCCCTTGGAAGTAAAGTGGGTACATTTATCTCAGAAATACTCACTTTTCCAGAACAGCTGGAGTGAAAAGAATGTGTAGTGGCCACTGTACTTTGTAGGAAAGACCTAGAGCTGCCCAGCCGGATGCAGGGGCTTCCCGTGGAGAAGTTTCCCGAGGAGGCGCTTCTCTTGTCTGAGTAGCATCTTTTCAAGAAAAGGAAAGAAGGGGGACCAGCAGTTGGCATAATGGCTATGTGGCTGGACTCCCATGTAGTCAACCGCAGTTCAAGTCCCAGACCTGGCAGCTTAAACTCACACCGGGCGCGTGTGCATGCATGCCCAAGATCCTAACAGGAGAATGGGTTGTGGTGTGGCCATCCCCCCAGGAGGTGATTTCTCGCTTTCTCTCTCTCTGTCACTCTGTCTTTCCGGCAAGCGTACACGCCCTATAGCAAAAAACCTCTCAAAAAAAAAAAAAAAAAACTAGACAATGTTCCTGCTCTCATGGCACTTATAGAAACCCCCTAAAGCAAAAAACCTCCCAAAAAAAAAAAAAAAAAACTAGACAATGTTCCTGCTCTCATGGCACTTATAGTTTGGTGGGAGAAATGGACAATTAAAAAAAAAAAAAGAAAAGAAAAGGAAAGAAGATGAGGGATCTGCAGATGGTGCAAGGTTACATTGCTGAACTCCCATATAGTCAACTGTGCTGGAGTCGCAGCCGGGTGGCTTGAAACTCATCCCGAGTACATGTACATGCATGTCCAAAATCCCAAGAGAACAGAGAAGGGATTGTGGCATGGCCATACCTCCTAGGGGTGATTTCTTGTTTTCTGTATCTGTCTCTCTGGCGAGTGCACGTGCCCTATAGCAAAAATCTCTTAAAAAGGAAAATGAAAGGGGACCAGCAGTTAGTGTAACGGCTATGTTGCTGGACTCCCATGTAGTCGACCACGGTTCGCATCCTGGACCCGGTGGCTTAAAACTCACGCTGGGCACGTGTGCGTACATGCCCAAAATCTCGAGAGAAGGACGGAGGAGAAGGGATTGTGGTGTGGCCATCCCCCCGGGGGGTGATTTCTTGTTTTCTGTCTCTCTGTCTCTTTCTGTCTGGCGAGCACACGCGCCCTATAGCAAAAACAAAATAAAACAAAACAAACAAAAAAACGAAAATGAAAGAAAGAAAGAAAGAAAAAAGATGACAACTTGGTTAATCTAGAACTAGAGACTCAACAAGTGGAAATCTTCATGAAATGAGAGCTCCCTGGTATCTGGTATCAGAAGCATGAAGGGACATAGAGGCATAGGGCATGAAAATGTCTATGTGAGGTTCTCTTGGGAAATATTTTAGAGATTCTTTTCTAAGCCTCTCTGGAGGCTGGAAATAAAGAGGACCATCCCAGCAGCATGACGAAAACTAAAACCAAACAAAAAGACATAAAACAAAAACAGATATCCTGGGCATCTTTCTAGACTTCTTTTTTCCTATATAAAATTAGGTACTGGACTAAATGATTTCTTAGGTCCAAATTTAGATGGTTTCTGTGAAGGTGGGTGGAAGCAGATGGGAAAATGGACAAGTAGTAGGAGCAGAAACGTGGCAGAAAGAACAGCTAACCTTTATGTTCTTTTCCATGATACTCGATCGTCAAGTGCAGCAGAGGGAGAAGGTTGTCATCATCCAGCAGCACCTTGTGTGCTGACTGCTGAAAGGCCACATTCACATCTGCAAGAAAGAACATGCTGGCTGAGAAGAGCTCCCTCCACACCTGCCTACCACTCAGAGCAGGAAGCATGGGATATCTGTTGCTTTCTCATTAGCATTCATTCCTCCTCCTCTCCTTGCTGGTAATAGCATCCAGATTTTCCTGGGAGAACCATCCTTGGAGAACTCATCCTACTCAGTACAGTTCAGGTAGTTACAGCGGGGTTGACAATACGATTGTAGGGGTAGGCGGGTGACCTAGGCAGGATCAAATGGAATGTTAATACTCTTATCTTGTTACACTATTTTCTTCATGAACATAAGCCAGGTCATTCCAGAGGCTCTACTCAGACTCGAAAATGGTACAGTTCTTTTTTGAGATAAATGGGGACGTAGTAGGAATTGAACTGGGCTGAAGACCATCTTGCTACCATATAGAGAGGGCCTATTAGAGAGATGGACAGAGACCAAGGCTTCCACATAAGCCACTGGATCAAACTTTGCCTAAAGCTATCATACCTGAGCTTTCCAGTTTTGAGCATCAATAAATTATTTCTTCTTCTTTTATTCCTTGAGTTTCAATATTGTTTTCTATGTAAAGTATTATGTAAGTAAGTACAGTGGACAGCTGCTAAACTAAACTAGAAAAATGATCACCCTGTGAGTTTTTTCCTTCCCAAGTTCTTTCTTTCTTTTGGCTCTGAACCTTACCCAACCCTAATCATGCAGTTTAAATGGCAATGGCCATCAGTAGGTCAAAGGGTGGACACTTTAATGAACTAGACATATCACCAAGCTGTTCTTACGTAGAACAGGCCTAAAGGGGTCACGGCAGCAGGCAAGAAATAGCCTGCAACTTCAGTAAGCTGGGGATTCCCAGGGCTACAGGGCAATTACCGTGCTCGGTTACTGCAGTGGGCGGGGTTTTTAACATGTGTTGAGCTGTGTCAATGAAGGCCTGAAACAGTTCTCCACGTCCCAGAAGATAAAAGTCTTTAATGATCTGAGGAAAGAATTACCATTTACAAGTCAGTAAAGCAGGGGAAGGAGCCCCTCACTATCCTGAGGGAATTATAATTTCTAGGCCCATCACTCTGGTAGGAGGTAGGTGTGTGGCATTTCAAAGAGGAACCCTTAGCAGTTCCACATAGCATGATGACTGGTGTGTAGCTGGTACCATTGATTCTATAGGAATATAATTATATTACACCATAAGAAAGTGAATGCCCAAATGTCTGTATTATAATAGATCGGCAGCATTAGGGGGAGCTTGCTTACTTAGAAAAGAACGAAAGAGGCCATTCTGGAAACCTGGGCATAGGCAACCAATGCCCTCAGAATAGGTTAGGGAATGTAAGTCACTGCCAACCAGCATCATTCTGAGAATTAAAACAGCTCAGCTATTACCTTCAGCTGGCCCAGTAAATCTGACTCTTCTACCATCAGCTTCCAGAGATGCTGTGAAAAGAACCAACAAGGACACAGTGAAAACTTCTGCAAAGAATCGTTCTATACAAATCCAGCAATGCATTGAAAAAGAATAGGTGCCATGACAAAACTAAGTTAATCCCAGGAATTATATATATACACACACACACACACATATATATAAATATATATTTAATGAGATAGAACTATGCTGAAACTGGCTGGTGGTAACAGTTGCATAATACTGTGAATGTATTAAAAAACACTGAATTGTACACTTTAAAAAAATGGTTAAAGGGACCAGCAGATGGTGTAATGGTTATGTCGCTGGACTCCCACATGGCTGACTGTGGTTCAAGTCCTGGACCTGGTGGATTAAAACTCATGCTGGGTGCATGTGTGTGCATGCCCACAATCCTGAGAGGAGAATGGAGAAGGGATTGCTGTGTGGCTATCGCCCCTGAAGGATGATTTCTCATTTTCTGTCTCTCTGTCTCTCTCTCCAGTGAGTGCATATGTCCTATAGCAAAAAATCTCTCTCTTAAGAAAAATAGTTAAAATGTCGAATTTTATGCTATGTAAATTTGATCGGAATAAAAAATAATAGTATGGGGGCCAGCAGGTGGTGTGGTGATTAAGGGCATTGGACTCGCACATGGCTGACCATGGTTCGAGTCCCAGACCTGGTGGCTTGCTTTCTCATTTTTCCTCTCTCTCTCTTGTTCTGTCCCTCTCTAGTCAAAATAAGTAAATGAATGAATAAATAAAGTTAAATAAAATAATTCTTAAAAAAAGTGTGAATGTAATTTACTACATTAAAACTTAAGACAGCAGGTGGCACAGTGGTTAAGTACTGGATCCCATATGTCTGGCTCCACGGTTTAAGTCCTGGACCCAGCAGCTTGACAAATACACAAAGCACATGTGTATGCATGCCCAAAATCCCAGGAGGAGAGTGAAAGAAAAGGGACTGTGGCATGGCCATCCCCCCCTGGGGGAGTGACATCTCACTTTCCCTCTTTCTGTCTCTCTCTCTTTTCTCCTCAGTGAGCATACATGCCCTATGGTAAAAATCTAAAAACCCAAAAAACAAAACCCCACAAACTTAAATGAGAAAACCACTTTACAGATACAGAAAAAGGTATTTGATAAAATTTTACATCTGTTCATGACTTTATTTTTCTTTTTAAAGAATTGGGACCAGCAGATGGCATAATGATTATGTTGTTGGACTCCCACATAGTCAACCACAGTTTGAGTACTGGACCTGGAAGCTTAAAACTCATGACATGTGCATGTGTGTAGGTGCCCAAAATACCAAGAGAAGAATGAAGGAGAAGGGTCTGTGGTGTCGGCCACATGGGAGTCCAGTGCCTTAACCACCACACCACCTTTGGTCCCATGTTCATAATTTTTTTAAGAGAGATTTTTGTTATAGGGCATGTGTGCTCACCAGAGAGACAGAAAGCAAGAATCACCCTCTAGGGGGATGGCTACTCAGCAATCCCTTTTCCTCCATTCTCCTCTTGGGATCTTGGGCACGCACACATGAGCACCCAGAGTGAGATTTAAACTGCCAGGTCTGGGACTCAAAGCACACTCAACCACATGAGAGTTCAGCAACACAACTATTATGCCATCCACTGGTCTCGTGTTCACGTTTTTGTTTTTGTTTTTTAATAAAGGGGCTAGAAAGGGAAGGATACTTCTTTATTCTGATAAAGTTTTTTTTTTGTTTGTTTGTTTTTTTACCAAAAATCCATACACAACAACCTATTTTATGGTAAACACAAGAAAAACTTGTTTGGTTTTGTGTTTTGAGAGGTTTTTTGCTTTAGGGCAGCTCAGCTCACCAGACAGAAAGAGAAAGTGAGAAATCATCCCCCAGGAGAGGGAACAGCCTAACTGTCCACTACCTGATAAGTGAGTAAACAGAATGTTGCATATTCATACAACAGAATGTTATTTAGTCATAAAAATGAGTAAAGTACAGCATGGATGAACCACGGAAGTAGGTGGAAAAAGCCAGACACAAAAGACTGCATATTATTTATTTATTTATTTATTTATTGGGAGAGATTTTCACTGTAGGGCGTGTGCGCTCGCCAGACAGACAGAGAGAGACATAGAGACAGAAAGCGAGAAATCACCCCCCGGGGGGATGGTCACGCTGCAATCCCTTCTCCTCCATTCTCCTCTCGGGATCTTGGGCACGCACGCACACGCGCCCGGTGTGAGTTTTAAGCCACCGGGTCCGGGACACGAACCGCCTCTCTTAAGAAAAATAGTTAAAATGTCGAATTTTATGCTATGTAAATTTGATCGGAATAAAAAATAATAGTATGGGGGCCAGCAGGTGGTGTGGTGATTAAGGGCATTGGACTCGCACATGGCTGACCATGGTTCGAGTCCCAGACCTGGTGGCTTGCTTTCTCATTTTCCCTCTCTCTCTCTTGTTCTGTCCCTCTCTAGTCAAAATAAGTAAATGAATGAATAAATAAAGTTAAATAAAATAATTCTTAAAAAAAGTGTGAATGTAATTTACTACATTAAAACTTAAGACAGCAGGTGGCACAGTGGTTAAGTACTGGATCCCATATGTCTGGCTCCACGGTTTAAGTCCTGGACCCAGCAGCTTGACAAATACACAAAGCACATGTGTATGCATGCCCAAAATCCCAGGAGGAGAGTGAAAGAAAAGGGACTGTGGCATGGCCATCCCCCCCTGGGGGAGTGACATCTCACTTTCCCTCTTTCTGTCTCTCTCTCTTTTCTCCTCAGTGAGCATACATGCCCTATGGTAAAAATCTAAAAACCCAAAAAACAAAACCCCACAAACTTAAATGAGAAAACCACTTTACAGATACAGAAAAAGGTATTTGATAAAATTTTACATCTGTTCATGACTTTATTTTTCTTTTTAAAGAATTGGGACCAGCAGATGGCATAATGATTATGTTGTTGGACTCCCACATAGTCAACCACAGTTTGAGTACTGGACCTGGAAGCTTAAAACTCATGACATGTGCATGTGTGTAGGTGCCCAAAATACCAAGAGAAGAATGAAGGAGAAGGGTCTGTGGTGTCGGCCACATGGGAGTCCAGTGCCTTAACCACCACACCACCTTTGGTCCCATGTTCATAATTTTTTTAAGAGAGATTTTTGTTATAGGGCATGTGTGCTCACCAGAGAGACAGAAAGCAAGAATCACCCTCTAGGGGGATGGCTACTCAGCAATCCCTTTTCCTCCATTCTCCTCTTGGGATCTTGGGCACGCACACATGAGCACCCAGAGTGAGATTTAAACTGCCAGGTCTGGGACTCAAAGCACACTCAACCACATGAGAGTTCAGCAACACAACTATTATGCCATCCACTGGTCTCGTGTTCACGTTTTTGTTTTTGTTTTTTAATAAAGGGGCTAGAAAGGGAAGGATACTTCTTTATTCTGATAAAGTTTTTTTTTTGTTTGTTTGTTTTTTTACCAAAAATCCATACACAACAACCTATTTTATGGTAAACACAAGAAAAACTTGTTTGGTTTTGTGTTTTGAGAGGTTTTTTGCTTTAGGGCAGCTCAGCTCACCAGACAGAAAGAGAAAGTGAGAAATCATCCCCCAGGAGGAATGGCCAGGCCACAATTCCTTCTCTTGGGATTTTGGGCATGCCCTATGGTAAAAATAAATTTTTTTTTTTTTTTTGGAGAGATTTTCACTGTAGGGCGCGTGCGCTCGCCAGACAGACAGAGAGAGACATAGAGACAGAAAGCGAGAAATCACCCCCCGGGGGGATGGTCACGCTGCAATCCCTTCTCCTCCATTCTCCTCTCGGGATCTTGGGCACGCACGCACACGCGCCCGGTGTGAGTTTTAAGCCACCGGGTCCGGGACACGAACCGCGGTCGACTACATGGGAGTCCAGCAACATAGCCATTACGCTAACTGCTGGTTCCCTGGTAAAAATAAATTTTATCTTAAAAAAAAAAATAAAAAAGAAAACTATAGTAAGAGAAGAATCCGAATGTCTATCAACAAATGAATGGATAAACACAGTGGTATATACAATGGAATTCTAGTAAGCACTAAAATGGAATAAATTACTGATAAACACAACCTGATTCCATTAAAAAATAATTATGCTGAGTAAAATAAGCCTGATCTCCTCCCCTAAGAATCATACTATATGCTATGGCTTATATAATGGTTTGTCCTTCACAGGTTTGTTTTGAATTTGATCCCTAGTATAATGGCACTGGGAGGCAGTGAGACCTTCAAGAGGTGAGGCCTAGTGGGCAGCGCTGAGATCATGGCATCACACTTACAAATGGACTGATGCTGCCTCTTGAGGAGAGTGAATTCTAATAACTCTTCTGGGAAAGGGTTAGTCCCCATGAAAGTGGGTTGCTATAAAAGGAGGCTGGCTGCTCCTGGATCTTTCTGCATGTGCCTGCTGATCTTTCTGCTTCTATAGCCATGTTGTGATGTACCCCCAGGGGTTGGCCTGATGGACTTTCACATGCCTTTGGACTTTCCACGACCAGACTTTTAAACCAAACAATCTTCTATTCTTTATAAATTACCCATTCTCAGGTATTCCTACTAGCAACATAACAGTGGAATAAGGACACCATAAAATCCCAGTTTTATAAACTACAGAAAATGCAAACTAACACATGGTGACAGAGAGATCAGTGGTTACTTGGGAAAGAGAGAAAGGGTGGGATAAAAGCACATAGAAAGGCAGGAGATAAAGGATGGAAGAAGACATCGGGTACAATCAAAAAGGAAGCCAGCTAGTGATCTAGTAACTAATAAAACAGATCTTGAGGATGAACAGGTGACATGGTAGGTGAGGCACTGGACTCCCACATGGCCGACTGCAGTTCAAGTCCCGGACCTGGTGGCTTGTTGTTTCACTTTCCCCTTCTCTCTCTTCTCTGTCTCTGTCTCTGTCTCTGTCTCTCTGGTGAGCGCACATGCCCTATAGCAAATTTAAAAATAATAATACTAAAATTTAAAAAACGAATACACTTTAAATTAGAAAATCTAAAATGAAATATATATAGGTAATACAGAGAACATTATATTGGGTCATCAGGAAAACCATGGCATATTTTTGCATAGTAAAATGCATCATTACTTTCCCATCAACCTAATAAATACATAAAAGGACAAACAGAATATATATTCATTATAAATATGTACATGCCTAATATGTCATTTCTTTTTTTTTTTTTTTTGGAGAGGTTTTTGCTATAGGGCGCATGCGCTTGCCAGAAAGACAGAGAGAGACAGAGAGACAGAAAGCGAGAAATCAACCCCCAGGGGGGATGGCCACACTGCAATCCCTTCTCCCTCATTCTCCTCTCAGGATCTTGGGCACGCATGCACATGCATCTGGCGTGAGTATAAACCACTGGATCTGGGACTCGAACTGTGGTCGACTACATGGGAGTTCAGTGACATAGCTATTACGCTAACTGCTGGTCCCCCTAACATGTCATTTCAAAATGAACAATTAGAACATTCATAGGACCCTACACTGAATACAGGATAGAGGTTTTCCAAGGCACAAGCAGAATAATTAACAACAAAAAACAAGCCCTATATAAGTTCATAAAAGAATCTGTAATAAATTCCAAAGACCCAATATCACACTATAAGTTCTCCAATTATACTAAAATAAAATAAAAATGATAAATTTCTTGGTTAAAAAGAAAATTCAGAATTGGACTAGCCCATAGCATGGTGGTTAAGGCTGCTGGATGCCACACAGCCAACCACATGTTTTGATTCCCTGACCTGGCAGCTAAAGAAACTCCCAGTTGCGTGTGCATGCATGCCCCAAATCCTGACAGGTGAAAGAAGTGAAGGAGAAAAGATTGCCTTCCATGGAGGGTGCTTTCTCACTTTCTCTCTCTCTCTCTCTCTATCTGGTGAATGCATGAGCCCTCTGGCAAAAATGTTTTTAAAAAAGAAAAGAGAAAATTATTAATACTTAAAATAGAATAAGAGAAACACTATATGTCAAGAACATGTGGGACACAGTAAAAGGAATATGTAAAATTTTGTATATCTGTTTTAGAAAACAGAGGTTAAAAATAAAGAAACCAAGTTTTTGACCTGGATAAAGAGTATCTCAAAGAAACAGGATGGAGAAGATAATGAAGATAAAGACATATCTATAAAATAGAGAACTGAGGGACCAGCAGGTGGCATGGTGGTTAACGCGCTGGACACTCCCATGTGGCCGACCACGGTTCAAGTCCTGGACCTGGTGGCTTACTTTCTCACTTTCGTCTCTCTCTGGTCAAATTAAAATGAAGGAATGCATGAATGAATAAATAAATAAATCCATGCCCTATAGCAAATTTAAAAATAATAATACTAAAATTTAAAAAACGAATACACTTTAAATTAGAAAATCTAAAATGAAATATATATAGGTAATACAGAGAACATTATATTGGGTCATCAGGAAAACCATGGCATATTTTTGCATAGTAAAATGCATCATTACTTTCCCATCAACCTAATAAATACATAAAAGGACAAACAGAATATATATTCATTATAAATATGTACATGCCTAATATGTCATTTCTTTTTTTTTTTTTTTTGGAGAGGTTTTTGCTATAGGGCGCATGCGCTTGCCAGAAAGACAGAGAGAGACAGAGAGACAGAAAGCGAGAAATCAACCCCCAGGGGGGATGGCCACACTGCAATCCCTTCTCCCTCATTCTCCTCTCAGGATCTTGGGCACGCATGCACATGCATCTGGCGTGAGTATAAACCACTGGATCTGGGACTCGAACTGTGGTCGACTACATGGGAGTTCAGTGACATAGCTATTACGCTAACTGCTGGTCCCCCTAACATGTCATTTCAAAATGAACAATTAGAACATTCATAGGACCCTACACTGAATACAGGATAGAGGTTTTCCAAGGCACAAGCAGAATAATTAACAACAAAAAACAAGCCCTATATAAGTTCATAAAAGAATCTGTAATAAATTCCAAAGACCCAATATCACACTATAAGTTCTCCAATTATACTAAAATAAAATAAAAATGATAAATTTCTTGGTTAAAAAGAAAATTCAGAATTGGACTAGCCCATAGCATGGTGGTTAAGGCTGCTGGATGCCACACAGCCAACCACATGTTTTGATTCCCTGACCTGGCAGCTAAAGAAACTCCCAGTTGCGTGTGCATGCATGCCCCAAATCCTGACAGGTGAAAGAAGTGAAGGAGAAAAGATTGCCTTCCATGGAGGGTGCTTTCTCACTTTCTCTCTCTCTCTCTCTCTATCTGGTGAATGCATGAGCCCTCTGGCAAAAATGTTTTTAAAAAAGAAAAGAGAAAATTATTAATACTTAAAATAGAATAAGAGAAACACTATATGTCAAGAACATGTGGGACACAGTAAAAGGAATATGTAAAATTTTGTATATCTGTTTTAGAAAACAGAGGTTAAAAATAAAGAAACCAAGTTTTTGACCTGGATAAAGAGTATCTCAAAGAAACAGGATGGAGAAGATAATGAAGATAAAGACATATCTATAAAATAGAGAACTGAGGGACCAGCAGGTGGCATGGTGGTTAACGCGCTGGACACTCCCATGTGGCCGACCACGGTTCAAGTCCTGGACCTGGTGGCTTACTTTCTCACTTTCGTCTCTCTCTGGTCAAATTAAAATGAAGGAATGCATGAATGAATAAATAAATAAATCTTTAAAAAACCCTTGAGATCAATAAAGGTTACATCTTAAATTTATAAAAAAAAAAGTAGAGAACTGAAAAATAAGGAAGAATAAAAATAAAAGCTGGTTCTTTCAAAAGATTAATTAAGATTAAACAATAAAAAATTAAAATACAAGATAAAATATATCCAGTTTAGTCCTACAAGAAGTGACTATGAAATTGCAGCAATAAGAAATGAACAAAAGATTGGAGCTGAAGACCTTAAGTGCTTGCTTTTTGCCCAATGACCAGATGCCTAGGACTATCTGCATTATCTATGCAACACAGGGTTTTTATTATTTTTACCTAAAGATGTATCTTTTTGGTAATGACAGACGTGCTTTTTTAAAAAAGCCTGGTTTTTCTCAATACGCCTTTAAAGGTTTTTAATTGTTTCATATCTGGTCAAATTGAGATTTTTAAGAACTCCATTTTTAATTTGTAATAAAAGTTTACAACTTGATTTTTTCCAAAAAGTCAACAAACTGCAAGCACCTGTTAATAAAGGTCTTAAATAATAAAAAAAAAAAATTTAAAAATTACAAAGCAGCAGATTTTTAAAATAAGTAAATCTAGGGCTGGCAAGTGGTGTGTTGGTTAAGGGCGCTGGACTCCCACATGGACGACCATGGTTCAATTACTGGACCTGGCGGCTTGCTTTCTCACTTTCTCTCTGTCTCTGTCTCTCTCTCTCTTGCATTCTGTTCCTCTCTGGTCAAATTAAAATGAATAAATAAAATAAATGAAGTTAAATAAAATAATTCTTTAAAAAAACAAGCAAATCTAAATGAAAAAGGTAAATTCTAGAAAATACCAAAATTGGTACAAGAAGAAATAAATGTCTTATGACAGTAAGTTTTTCTAAAAATACCTGGCTTAGATAATTTTTCAGGTAAGTTTAATAAAACTTCAGTAACAATTCCTATCTTATGAAAATTGCTCTAAGAAAAAGAAAGAGAATACAAGCTACTTGGCCCAGTTTTGAAGCTTATGTAATCTTTATTCCAAAACTGCATTAAGTACAATATAGAAAGAGAAGAATACAGTCTTATTTCACTAGAGAATGTGGATTTATAAAATAAATACTCTCTTGGCTAACCAAATCCAATAGTATGTTAAAAAATATATCATAATTGGGATCAGCAGATGGCGTAATGGTTACATTGCCAAACTCCCACGTAGTTGACCACCGTTCAAGTCCCGGATCTGGTGGCTTAAACTCACACAGGGCACATGTGCATGTGTGCCCAAGATCCTGAGAGGAGAACGGAGGAGAAGGGAATGTGGCGTGACTTCCCAGCAGAGGAGTGATTTCTCATTTTCCCTCTGTCTATGGGGAGCACACGTGCCCTATGTGAAAAACCTAAAAACAAACAAACAAAAAACACCAACAAGCTCTTGATAAACATGCTTAAGGAAGTAAAGATAGGGGGCCAGTAGACGGTGTAGCAGTTACATCAATGAACTCCCACAATTCCCACAGGGCTGACCATAGTTCAAGTACTAGACCGAGTGGCTTGAAAACCATGGTTGGGCTTATGTGCATGTGTGCCTAAGATCCCAGGAGGAGAATGGAGGAGAAGAGATTGTGGCATGGCCATCCCTCCTAGGAGGTGATTTCTCACTTCCCCTCTCACTTTCTTTCTCTCTCTGGTGAATGCATATGTTCTATGGCAAAATCCTTAAAAACAAACAAACAAACAAACCACAGAGAACGCTATTTTCTACTACTTCTTGTCCTTTAAGTCTCCCAAAAAAGTCTAAGCTCAGCTCTAACTACACCAAGAAGAAACAAAAGACAAGTACTCAATCTCTGGGGACAATCAGTCCATTTTCTTTCTAAAAAAATGTAAGAGAATGACAAACCTCAGCCACAGTACTACGAATGCGATCCACCACCTGCTCGAAATCCACCAAGCTGAAGAGTGGCTGCTGCTTAAGCCGATGCAGCTCTGCAGCAAAAGTGTCCTCCTGGTTTTTCAGAATGGAGCCTGCAGAATAGCAAGACACTGTCAAAGGAAGGCAGAGAACACCAGGGCAGCCAACATTTTCTAGAGAAGGTTCATCTTGGTGGGACATCTGCCCCTCATGTCATGAATGTACTGCAATTTTAGTACGCAAATATTGCCAGCCACTCTGACCAGATACACTTTTGGGCCCCATAACAGTAAGCAGAACAAGCCTTTGAGAGTGTGACAAAGAAATCCCTACCTTTTCTAGTCAGGTTCACATTCTGATTCTCAAACATCTGGACAGATTCTCCAACAAACAGGATTTTTTCAGCAACCCTCACTGGAATGTAGGATGGCAAAATCTCCACTCGTAGAGAAAACTGCTTCAGAGATGGGGCCAGCATGTTCTCTTCCTCAATCAGGCGCTAGTCATGGGAATAATCCAGATCAGAGACGAAGCACAAAGTAAGAAAAGGAAAATAAGAAACAATCGAGTAACAAACCCAACTCATGATCTCTATCTTATAGAAGCAGGGACTTTAAATCTGAAGTTGCACAATTCCTAAGTTCCCAGCATTGGAGAGACATATTTTATTCTCAGGCAGCCAAGGGGCATGGTGGAATAGCGGCTGTTATTTATTTATTTAGAGAGCATGCTCACTGAAGAGACCAAGAGACCGAGAGAGACAGAGACAGAAAGTGAGAAATCACACCCTGGGTGGATGGCCATGCTGTAATCCCTTCTTCTCCATTCCCCTCCTGGGATTTTGAGGCCACAGGCACTTGCCTCTGTGTGAGTTTCAAGCTTCCAGGTCCAGGATTCAAACTGTAGTCCACCATGTGGGAGTCCAGCACCTTAACTACTATGTCACCTGCTGCCCCAATAGTGACTTTTTTAGCACTGAGATCTTAGTCTTCACCTGTCTTTACACTGTATAGAACCCTGTGCAGTGGGATCAGCTTTTTCCTTGTGCAATGAATGACCTATTTTTTTTTTTTTAAGTCTTACATGTATGTCTGCTCTGCAGGTGTTCCTCAGGGCACTATCCCAGGCCCTCTTTGCCTCTTACTCTACACACTCTTCTTAGACAATCACATATTCTTCTGCGGCTTCACCGAACATTATAACAGATAGTTTTAATCTTTTCTGGTCACTGGCCTTTCTGAAATTATAAAAGCTATGGACCCTGTACACAAATTTATATATATATATATAAAACATTTCAGAGAAGCTCCTGAAGTAACCCAATGACCCCTTGTTGATGACTCCATATTTGCAGTAGCTGCATAAATAGCTTCCATGAGCCCCCAGCTCAACCCCCAGACATGCCCAGAATGCACTCATCTTCTTTTCCCTGTGATTACTACTTTGCTAGCCGCTAAAGACAGGAGGGTGGGTATCATCCTCAAATCTTCCTTGTTTATAAACGATTATTTTGGAGACAGGGTCTTGCTATGTTGCTCAAGCTGGCCTCAAACTTGCCCTCCTTCTGTTTCAGCCTCCTGGGTAGCCGGTGCTATTAGCACGCACCACCTCGCATGCAGATTCTCCCTTTTTGGCCCAGATCCAATCGCTAAGGCCTACTGATTCCACCTCCTAAATACTTCTCAGGCTTCTTTACTCTTCTTCATAGGCTCTGTTCCCATCCATGGTTTAGCACATTATTGTTCATCTAAGTTCCCCCAACACTCTCTTCACCGGTCTACCTGCCTCTAACCTTGATTTTAAACAATGATTCTCCAACAGTATCCCAGTGATCTATCATAAATTCTGATTGTGTCACCTTGACTAAATTTCTTCTGTGGTTCTCAGCTTTTTCTTCAGATTCAAGTTCAAGTCCGAATTCCTTTCCTCTGTATGGAAAGATCTTCATGATACTGCCTGTTTAATTCAACAGCTCCACTGATTACCACCCCACCACTCTCTCCACCATACTTATTGGCTTATCTGCCAGGGAGTGTGCATTCTCCAAAGAAAAACAGAAGCAGGGGGAGGGAGAGAAGGCCCCTCTCAACCCCCTGAAATAGGGGAATGGTCATGCTGAAGCAGGCCAGCTTGAGGTTTAGCAGGACTATGGCCATTTTAAAATTAAAATTTTAAAAAACGATCTGACCAAATGCTGACTCATGGAGAAAATCTGAGGAACTGTGAGAAACCAGGAATGAAAAATAGGAATCAGGTAATTGCTCAAAGGAAAACAATTCACTTTGATCTACTATAATGAGGAATGATTTGCCCATGCTTTTATCTTATATCTATAAATACTGAGCACATTCTAAACTTTTCTGAGTTTGGTGGTGCTTGCTGCCTGTAACCTGGTGTAGAAATAAACTCCCTTCCTCTCCAGCCTCTGCTTCTCACTTCACTGATCATGAGTAAAAGCAGCTGGACTTGTCAATAGCAATGTCACGATCCCTTCTTCTCCATTTCTCTATCCTGTCAGGATTTTGGGAAATAGGCACATGCACCTGGCAGGTTTCTCAGGTGACTGGGATCAGGATCTGAACTGCCTATCTGGCCACTGAGATACAGCTCCCTTAACCACTAGGCCATGGAGCTTGTCCTTATTCATTACACTTTAGCTTTTCCTTGACCACTTCAATTGATTTACTAATAGTAATGAGCCAAGTCTTTCATGGTCTCTATACTTTTCATACACCAGTCCCTCTGCCTGGAGACTTCTTGACCTCTCCTATCGAACTCTTTGCAATTTAGACAAACATTTCACTGAAACGCCTAGTCTAGTTACTCCAAGACTCTAACCCAGTCCATGTTCTAAGAATATCGATACGTACCCTTTTCAGAACACTTAGTGGACTGTAATCTGTTTATTTTTCTGTATCTTTCACTAATCTATTGGGTCGTCAGGGAAGTCGTGTCACATTTCTGCACAGAAAAACATGTCATGACTTTCCTGACAACCTAATAGAAGCTCCTTAAGGACATGGACTACTGCACTTTGTCTATGTACAATAGCTGTGGCACCCAGAACAGTGCCTGTCATATAACAGGCATTCAATGAAAAATTGTAACAGGATAAATGAATGAATGGTGGGCCAGATGGGGGTGTGGTGGTTAAGGCAGCTGGATCCCATATGACAGACAGCACAGTTTGACTCCCAGACCCAGTGGCTTGTAAAACACACCAGGCACTTGTACGTGTGTGTCCAAAAATCTCAAAAAGAGAAATGGAGAAGAGACTGCAGCATGACCACTGCCTACGGGGGGTGCTTTCTCACTTTCCTCCACCTTCCAACTCTCTCTGGCAAAGCACATGTACCCACCAGCAAGTGAAAAGAAAAAAAAAGAATGAATAGATAGATGGATGAATATAGACATAATGGAACTTTGAGAAGTCTAATCAAAACTCTAAACTGCATTTAAAAGCTATAGAGTAGCTACAGTTTGCAGGGATAAGACTTATTTATTAACCTCTTAAATGCAAATATTGGGAGAAAGGGAAACAACATGAATCTCACAAATGTATTTTGTAATCTCACATTGGTTAAGATAAAGCCAAATGTTTATGGCTAAAGAATTTATGGAAGGTGCCCAGGCTATGGCAACTGAAGAGGGGTCACCAAAATATCACTTAGCTCAAGCCTTATCTGACCCCCAGTAGGAGCATGCGAGGCTTCTTACTGCATTCTCACCAGGTCCTGGAGTTCTCTCAGTTGTTTTCCTGTCAGGCCCCCAATGCCCAGATCCTCCTCGTCCTCTTCTGGCTGGGCACTGACACTACCAGAAGATGGACCCTGTTTGATAAAGAACTCTTCATGCTGGTCCAAGAGGAGTCCATGTAGCATCCAGGCAGAGAGCTGTTTATACATGACCCCATGACACACGGCCAGAATTCTGAGAGAGAGGAAAGTAAAGGGCTAGAAGTTCACTTCGAGAACACTAAACCCTACAAATATCAAAGAGGTCATGCTTTAAACTGCTACAGGATCAACAGGCTTAGAGTTTGATGAGTCATAAGAGAAATAACCAATTAAGTTAAAATAATTGTGCTATTTTAATCTAAATGTTGAGGATGGATTAAGCGAATAAACTATAACTGCAACCTAAGACAGAAATCTAAAGTGTTTGACAAATGTTCTGATGGTAATTTAGGAGAGGAAGATTGTCTTTCCTTCTTTTATGTAAATAAGCTTCAAAATCAATGGGTCCTGTTAAAATTAATGGGTTTAAATGAGTTTTTTTGATTAACTGTATTAAATCTGTATTATATTTATTTGAAATACGTAAGGAGAGAAGATATGACACATGAGTGCCCAGTTCCTACAAAATGCAGAAACTAAAAATGCAGAAAGATTGTTGGAGAATAAGATATTTAGATAGTCTCAAAGGATCGCACTCCAGATAATATATTAATTACAAAAGAGAACAGGTACCTCCACAATGGAGAAATCTGAAGAAAAACACCTAAGTGATCACACTTCATCTTATATGTAAAATACACATATAGAAATGAGAAAGAAATAAAAAGATAAATAAGGTAAACTTTCTTTTGTTTAAAGAATTTATTTATTTATTTATATTATTATTTTTTTTCACATGAGTTTTGCCAGAGAAAGACAGAGGGAGAGAGACAGGGAGCTCTAGAAAGCAAGCTGCCAGATCCGGGATTCAAATTGTGGTCAGCCATGTGGGAATTCCAGCACCTCAACCACCAAGCCACCTGCTGGGCCCATTACTTTCTATGTCTTCTGATACAACGGAATGGAAAATACTACCACCTATACAATATTCTTGCCCAGAATGTTTAACCTGAATCTACTCATGAGGAAGTGATCAGATAAATCCAGATTATGGAACATTCTAGACAACTGGTCAGGAGTCTTAAAACATTAATGTTGGGACCAGCAGGTAGTGTGGTGGTTAAGGGTGCTAGACTCCCACATGGCTGACCGCGGTTTAAGTGCCAAACCTGGCGGCTTGCTTTCTCACTTTTTCTCTCTCTCACTCTGGCCCTCTCTGGTCAAAATAAAAATAAATAAATAAAATTAAATAAAATAATTATTTATTAAAAAAAAAAAACAATGTCATCAAAGACAAAACAGCATCAACAAATGGCAAGGGGGACTGTTCCAAATTAAAGGACACTATGACAACCAAATACAACATGGGAACACAAACTGAATCCAGATTGCAGAAAAAGGTCAGCTATAAATAGGGCCTTTGGAGGATAACAGGAAATTTGGATATATTCTAGATATCATACAAGGCCTTCAAAAGTTCATGGAGGAGCTTGATAGGGCTACAGCAGCAAAATATGATGTTCTGTGAGGCTGACCCACATAAGAAGGTTCTAGGTTTGTGCCTGAAGACTTCCCTGAGAACACTACACATGTGCCTATGATCTGAGGCTGGCTGAAGCTATGAGTGAATCATGGCATTGAGACCCTGTGGAGAGTGTTGTCTTCCTATCTTTCTCTCTTCATGTTCCTCTGGCTCATGGAATAAAAAGAGGAATAAAACAAAAAGTTCATGGGAAATGAATATTATAGAAAAACTACATGGGGGGTACCAGCAGATAACATAGCAGTTACATTGCTGGACTCCCACAAGGCCAACCGCAGTCAAATCCTGGACCTAGTGGCTTGAAACTCACGCCAGGTGCGTGTGCATGAATGCCCAAGATCTTGGGAAGAGACGAGAAGAGAAGGGATTGCAGCATGGCCATCCCCCCAAGGGGGTAATTTCTCACTTTTCCTCTCCTGTCTCTGTCTCTCTTTCTGGTGAGCACATGCTCCCTAAGGCAAAAACCTCTTTTAAAAAAGAAAACTGCAAGAGTTTCAAAGTTTTTTGCATCAAAATAAACTTATACTTGAATTCTATTTTCACAAACTCTTTGAAGTCTCCTAGTATTCTTGAATTAGTGGTAACTTTCTTGAGTAACATGTTACTGAGGTTATATAATGCTTTTTTCTAACGAGATATAAGCATAAGTATTTAGGGTTAAGTGTTATGATATTTACAACTACTTTCAAATGATTAAAAAAATCTAGGGTATATGTCTGTGTGTATACGTAAAATATACATATAGAAGGAGAAAGAAATAAAAAGATAAATCAAGAGGGCTGGCAGGTGGTGTGATGGCTAAGGTGCTAGATTCCCACATGACTGACCATGGTTCAAATCCCAGACCTGGAGGCTTGCTTTCTTACTTTTTCAATCTCTCTCTTTCTGTCCCTCGCTGGTCAAATTAAAAATAAATAAAGTTAAAAAAAATTGTGGAGGAAAAGAAACAAGAGCTTGAGACCACTTTTTGTAGCATGCTAACTGAATGGAATCTTTTATTTATTTATTTTTTGATTTTTGCCATAGGGTGTGTGCACTCACCAGAGAGACAGAAAGAGGAAAGTGAGAAATCACCTCCCAGGGTGATGGCCATGCTGCAATCCTTTCTGTTCCATTCTCCTCTTGGGATTTTGGGCACACACATGCACCTAACATGGTTTTCAAGGTGCTGGGTACAAATCATACTACCTAAGTAAGATTTCATATTCTATACATCAAAATATAACAGAGAGCTATGTCTCCAAAGCATGTTCTAGAAAGGTATTTGTTCTTCTTAGGGTTTACTTATGCAGTGATAACAGTGGAGATAAAGAACTACCTCAGATCATTTCTTACAATTCTGCAATACTGTTTTTTAAAAATAAGGAGGAAGTTGGGCTAGCAGGTGGCACAGTGGTTAAGGTGGCTAGATCCCACATGCCGTGCTGCGTGGTTCACGTTCCAGATCCAGCAGTAGAAGACATGCCAGAAATGGATACATGCATGCCTAAAATCTGGATGAGAGAAGGGATTGCGGCATGGTCATTCCTCCTGGCAGGAACTGGGGCATGATTTCTCCCTTTCCTCTCTCTCACTGTCTCTCTGGTGAGTGCATGTGTTGTGCCCTATAGCAAAAATTAAAAAAAAAAAAAAAAATTAACTAAAAAGAAAAAAAATTGAGGAAGAGAGAAATGAAAAGATCAGAAATGAATGGGCAGTCTTTGAAAATATATCACATATATTTTTCTATAATTATAATCATGGGACAAATATAACCTTATACCATTGTTTTTTTGAGAGTTTTTTTTTTTTTACTATAGGGCGTGAGCACTCTCGCCAGACAGACAGAGAGAGACAGAGAGATAGAAAGTGAGAAATTACCCCCTAGGGGGGATGGCCATGCCGCAATCCCTTCTCCTCCATTCTTCTCTTGGGATCTTGGGCATGCACGCATACGTGCCTGGCCTGGGGTGAGTTTAGGCCGCGGGGTCCAGGACGCGGACCGCGGTCGACTACGGGGGAGTCCAGCAACAGAGCCATTACACTAACTGCTGGTCCCAATCTTACACCATTTTTCAGTATCATATAAAATATTTTACTTATCATTGTATTTATAATTTTAACAACTTTATAGCTCTATAGTCTTTATAGTAATTATACCTTTATTTAGCTTTTTTCCTGTTGCTGGTAATTTTCTAGTTTCTTGATATAGTAGACATTACGATGAATGTACATACAGTTATTTTGTTAAGATAAAATTCCTAAAAAAGTGAGGACCAGCAGGTAGCATGGTAGTTAAAGGTGCTGGACACTCCCACATAGCCGACCATGGTTCAAGTTCCAGACCTGGTGGCTTGCTTTCTCACTTCCTCTCTCCTTCTCTCTCTCTGGTCAAATTAAAATAAATGAATGAATAAATTAAATTAAATAAATAATTCTTTAAAAAATTTCGAAGAAAGCATTATGGAATTGTAAAGTCTAAACATTTTTAAGGGACTTTTATAAAAATATTTATTCCATAAGCGTGAGAACAAGAGCAAGAGACAGGGGGAGACAGGCACACCCTCAACAGAATCTTCATTCTATGAGCCATCCCCAGCCAATCAGGATCATAGGCACATACGTGCACCTGACATGTACAGGGAGACTCTGGGATGCAAACCCAGTATCTCCCCATGTGGCCTCTGCATCATGGAGCATTTCATCGCCACTGTGCCATTATGATTGCTTCACTCTCTTTTTAGTTTGTTTCTTACATGAGTGAAAGAGGCTGACAGACACAGTATCCCCAGCAGGGTCCTGACACCGTGATCATCCTCAGTCAGGTCCAGGTCATGGGCAAGCACATGCCCAGCATACTTACGTAGGTCTCTGGACAGACGTGAACATGGAACCATGTGCGTCAGCCTTGCCAAGTCTGCATTTTACTACAGCTCCAAGGCCTGGCCCTACCACAGCTGCCCTTCTTAAGGATCCTGATGCGAAAGTACCAGCTACGTGTACTTTGACATGGCAAGTAGTATCTGGCACATGAAATGGAAATCCTGCAAGGAAAATGAGATCTAAAAATTAAAAAGCAAGGTTGTCTTGGCAGCTAATCCTGGCTTTGATGCTCAACACTTCATGGTCCTCTCTCTACAATTTCTGAACCATCATAAAGATGATATGGACTCCTCTGCTTATGGGCTTTTTCTGTCCTGATCATAATTTCTCCAAAGGGAAACCTAAGATGACCTGAAAATAAACTGTGTGAGAAGTCAAGTCACTTTATCACCCACTTCCAGTCCCAACCCCCAACTAAACCATGACTTACTTTTCCAGTGCACTTCGAACAGGAGGCAAACCTCCGCAGCTGTGTTTGTAAACAGTTTCCAGGATTTGACAACCATGAATCTGGAAAATACAGTCTTGTCAAACTGAATTCTATCATAATAGTTGGTACAATAATAACTCTTATCCTATTGGGTCGTTGGGAAAGTTATGACGCATTTTTGCATAGAAAAACAGAAAAATAAATCATGACTTTCCCAACGACCTAATATATTCAGCCAAGCAGGACAGTCCAGCAGTGAACAGGAATAAATTTCATCGTAAGATCTATATGTAGAGGTCTCAAAGATGGACCCCTTTCTGAGGGAAAGCATCAGCATCACTTGGAGATTTACTAAAAAGGCAAATTCTGGGGTTGGCAGGTGGCGTGGTAGTTAAGGGTGCTGGACTCCCACATGGTGGACAATGATTAGAGTCCTAGACTTGGCAGCTTGCTTTCTCACTTTCCCAATCTCTTTCTCTCACTCTCACTCTATCCTTGTCTGGTCAAATTAAAATAAATAAATAAAGCTAAAATAAGATCATTCTTAAAAAAAAAAAAAAAAGGCAAATTCTGGGGACAGCAAGTGGCCAGGGTGGTTAAGGCGATGGACTCCCAAATGGGTGACTGCAATTTGAGTCCTAGACCTGGCAGCTTGGAAAAATCACGTCAGGTGTGTGTATATGTGCATGCCCAGAATCCCAGGACGAGAATGGAGGAAAAAGAATTGTGGCATGGCCATTCCCACTGGAAGGGAATTTCTCATTCTCCCTCTGGCTCTCTTCAGTGAGTACACACATTATATAGGAAAAACCTAAAAAGAAAAAGAAAGGTAGGATCCACCAACCTGTGTTTCAACAAGCCCTCCAGCGATTTTTTAAAAAACTATTTATTTAATTCCACCTTTAATTTTTATTTTTTAATTTGACCAGACAGAGACAGAGACAGAGAAAAAGAGAAAGCAAGTCAGCAGGTCTGGGACTCAAACTGTGAACAGCCATGTGGGAATCCAGTGCCTTTATCCACCAGGCCACCTGCCGGTCCCAACCCTTAGGTGATTCTAAAAGACAGAAGCACTAAAGAAATCAGAATCACTGAGAGACTGAGGGTTGATACTCCAAAGTGAAGAAAAGTTCTTTAGTTTTATCTGTTTATTTTTAATTATTTAATTTTATTTATTA